GCACTTTAGGAGGCCGAGGTGGGTGGATCATGAAGTCAGGAGTTTGAGACTAGCCTGATCAACATAGTGAAACCTGGTCTCTACTACACATACAAAAAATTAGCTCGGCGTGGTAGCGGGCGCCTGTAATCCCAGCTACTCGGGAGGCTGAGGCAGGAGAATTGCTTGAAACCGGGAGGCTGCAGTGAGCTGAGATCACGCCACTGCACTCCAGCTTTGGCGACAGAATGAGACTCCATCTCAAAAAAAAAAAAAAAAAAAAAAAAGAATAGATTGTGATTAGAAAAAGATGGAAGCAAGGGAATCAGTTTGATGCTATTTAAGTGAGCCAGGTAAAGATATCTTAGACCAGACATATAGCAGTAGAGGTGGTGAGAGATGATTAAATTCTGCAAATATACTGCAGGTGGAGCTAACCAGATTTCCAGATAGGGTGGATGTGGGATGTGAGTGGAAATGAGGAGTCAAGGAAGATTCCAAGGTCTTTGTCCTAAAGAACTCGCAAAGTAGCAACACCATTTATTGAAAGGGGAAAAATTGGGGTAGAAGCAGGATTGAAGGAGAAGATGGAGAGTTTGGGGTTGGTTGTTCAGTCGCTACCCAAGGAGACATTTGGGGTTCATAGTTAGATCTGCAGTTTGGAGAGGGCTGCTTATGAGCTGAAGATATATGTGTTACAAGTCAGTGTATAGGTGGTATATAAAATATAATCATCTCAGATCCTTTAAAACCCGGGTCTCATTCCTTCCTCCACCCCTCCAACTTTCTGTGGGCCCAGCTGCTTGTTTCTCTGGCAAATTCCCCAGCTGCCTAAGAAAATGCCCTCAAAATGTTACTTCATCTGTTCTTGGGCACAAATGATCACATGGAAGCAAAAATGCTATGACTTCAATGCTCGTGTCTCATCCAGCACGGAGGATATTTTGTCTTTTCTACAAGTCTTTTTCAATTCCAGCCCTGGTCAGCACTCAGTGTCACTGGCTAGAACCTTCCCTCACTGAATTCTTAACACCTCCAATGGTCCATTAACTCATTGAGGGCAGACACTGCAGTATGGTCTGTGCTTCAGTTTCCCCCTGCTATTGTAACAAATTATCATACTTAGTGACTTAAATCAACAAAAACTTATTGTATAAGTCTGGAGGTTAGGAGCATGAAATCAGTCTCACTGGGCTAAAACTGAGATATTGGCAGGACTGTTGCTTTCTAGAGGTTCTAAGCAATAATTCATTCCCTCATGTTTTCTAGCTCCTAGACACTACCTGCATTCTTTGGCTCATGGCCTTATTTCTTCATCTTCAAAGCCAACAACTCCAGGCCAAATTCTTTTCATGCTGCAATCTGTTTGGTTCTCCCTCTTCTGCTTCCTCCTTACTCTAAAAAGCACGCTTGTGATTATATTGGTCCTAGCTGGGTAATCCAGAATAATCTTCTTATTTCAGTGTCAGCTGATTGGCAACCTTCATTCATCTGCAACTCTGATTCCCCTTTGCCATATAATCTAACATATTCACCAGTTTCTGGGAATAAAATGTGGACATTTTGGGAAGCCTTTTTTTTTTCTAACTACCAGAGGCTGAAATCTATAGCTCCTAGCATAATGCTTAGTGCATGACAGCACTCAATAAATGCAAATGAATGAATGAATGCATCGCTCAGTGCCTACAGCTGGGTATTTTCATCTAATCCCAGAAAATAGCTGTTATTAATTGTATACCTGCTCAGTCCATTTTTAACGGGATGTAGGGGAAGGAAGAGAGATGGAAAGCAGTTCTGAAGAGTTTTTACATTAGCATCTCCTTGGATATTGGTAGATGAAAGGAATAGAAAACCTTAAAGGAATAAAACGTTTAATCCCCAATCCTAAAAAATGTTACCTGTAGCTTACAGTATGAAACCTACTCTTGTCATAAGGGCATGTGACTCTTAAGCAGTCCAGAGAATTGAAATAAAAACAGTTTGATCTTCTCATCAACACTAATGTTAAAAATAATTTTCATGTATTTTGCCAAGGCCCTATACAGGTATCAAAACCAGGCAATCAAAGCAGTGAGATCCAACCAGCAAAATTTCTTGATCTCTCTATCCTTGTAGAACTTTGCCTTTCCCCATTACACTTTATTTTTTATTATTTCTTTGTTATCCCTATTAGTTCATGAGCTTCATACCAATAGCCCCTCAGCTCATTTGCCAAACTCATTATTGCGACTCCAGACTTGGTGCATAGTAGATATTTCCCAGTTAGTGAATGACTTTGCTAAATTACTACTCACAATGTACACATGGAATTGCAGGCAGCTTTCTCATCATCAGTGCATTCATCTTGAGATCTTGGAGACTCAACTTTCTTTATGGTTCTCTTAGGACATTTCTGAATATTTCCATTTCACTCACTCTTCAGATATTGACCTCTCAATTGTCTTGAAAAGACAATTATTTGCCAATTAAATCAGCAAACTGTTCTATGTCCCATATAATGAAATAAGAACATTGCATAGTACCACTGTGATTGTGTTACTGGCAAAGTCACAGAAGTAGAAATTTTCCTTCTCTGTAACTTGAGGTTGAGTCTTCACAAAGAAACATTTGTGGGTGTCATATGAGAACATGTTGTAAGCACAAGTTATAAATTGGGTTCATTTGGTTTTGAGTTAGTTTTTTAAATCTAACTCCCTCGAATTTGTGAGTAATCTTGTGCAATTATTAAGAATATGATTCATCCTGAAAATCAATTGCAAATACTTTGTACTTTCAAAGATGAGCTCTTTGTCATGATGGGTGAACTAATTTTTCAAGCAGTGGTTTATGGAACCACAGAATTTCCTAGGAATTGTTGGGAAGCCTATTTATGGGAAACGTGTGTAAAGTGGTTTATCCAATTCCACCCCAACATGGCATGAAGAGCTTTGATTCCAGGACCTGGAAAAAAAAATTGTTTTAAAATTTCAAGTTGCAGGCCAGGCATGGTGGCTCACACCTGCAGTCCCCAGCACTTGGGAGGCTGAGGCAGGATGATCACTGGAACTCAGGAGTTTGAGACCAGCCCGGCCAACATGGTGAAATCCTGTCTCTATCAAAAATACAAAAATTAGTAGGGGTGTGGTGGTGCACGCCTATAGTTCTAGCTATTTGGGAGGCTGAGGCAAGAGAATCGCTTAAACCCAGGAGGCAGAGGTTGCAGTGAGCCAAGACACACCACTGCACTCAAACTGGGAGACAAGAGTGAGATTCCATCTCAAAAAATAAATAAATAAAACTTAAAGAATCAATAAATAATAAAAAATTTTAAGGTGCAGAGCACATTAAAAGGAAAGAATATATTTAGTGGACGTGAACTGTCTTACTAGCAAATACTGCTTATCACTTCAGGATGGTTGACCAGGTAGCTTAGAATAAAAAGATTCCAAGTGTTAGAGATGAAACGTTAAAGAACAAAAATAGCAGACCTACATTTCTGCCCTCACACAGTTATAATCTAGCAGAGAACAAAAGACAAAAAATAAACAATAAAAATCTATTATGTGATAAAATAGAAAGCAATAAGCACTAGGGAAAAATCAGGGAAGAGAGATAGAAAAGGCTGAAAGAGTTCATTCCCTTTTATTGCTGAGTAGTATTTCACCATATGGGTACCCCTCAGTTTGTTTATCCACTTACCCAAGGAAGGACATTTGGGGTTGTTTCCAATTTGGGGCTATTACAGTACAAATAAAACTTTTATGAACATTTGTGAACAGGCTTTTGTGTGGACATAAGTTTTAATTGCACTAGAAAAAATACCCTGGAGGTCAATTACTGAGTCATATGGTAAGTATATGTATAAACTTGTCAAAAATACTGCCAAACTGTTTTCAGATGGCTGTTCCATTTTACATTCACACCAGCAATGAAGGAAAGATCCAATTGCTGTGAATCTTTGCTGGAACTTAGTATTGCCAGTACTTTTTATCTTAGTCATTCTAATAGGTGTGTAGTAATATCTTGTTGTGGCATTAATTAGCCAGTTCCTAATGACTGATAATGTTAAACCTTTTCATCGGCCATCTATACATCCTCATTGGTAAAGTGTCTGTTCTAGTGTTTTTGCCCATCTTCTAATTGAGTTATTGTTGAGTTCGGAGAGCTCTTTTATTTTTTTTTTATTTTTTTATTTTTTTTGAGAGGGAGTCTCGCTCTGTCACCCAAGCTGGAGTGCAAGCTCCGCCTCCCGGGTTCACGCCATTCTCCATTCTCAGCCTCCTGAGTAGCTGGGACTACAGTTGCCTGCCACCACACCCAGCTAATTTTTTGTATTTTTAGTAGAGACAGGGTTTCACCATGTTAGCCAGGATGGTCTCAATCTCCTGACCTCATGATTCACCCGCCTTGGCCTCCCAAAATGCTGGGATTACAGACATGAGATTCAGAGAGCTTTTAAAAATATATTCAGGATACAAGTTATCTGTCACAGAATATAATTTGGAAATATTTCTCCCTATCTTTCACGTGTCCTTTCATTCTCCAAACAGGATCTTTCTCAGAGCAAAAGTTTTTTAATTTGTATGAAGTCCAATTTATTTAATTTATTTTTTAATGAATCATGTTTTTGGTATCATCTCTAAGAACTCTTTGATTCACTCTAGGTCATGAAAGTTTTCTCCAATTTTTTTCCTAAAAGTTTTAGAGATTTACATGTTGCATTTAGGTCTCTGATCAATTTTGAGTTAATTATTACATACGGTGTGGGTTTTCAGTTGAGGCTCATTATTGCACCAATGAATACTCAATGTTTCTAATGCCATCTTTTGAAAAGACCACCCATTCTTCATTGAATTGCTTTTGCACCTCTTGGTCATACTTATGTAGTTCTATTTCTAGACTTTCAATTTTCTTCCATATCACATTGTGTTTCAATTATTGAATTTCTTATCTCTTTCTTTCTCACTGGACTTGAAAGTAGGATAGTGTTTTTCTCAATTCTGTTTCCAGGGCATTTAGCACAATGTCTGGCCCACAGTAAATACAGAGTGAATAAAAGTTTATTAAGTGAATAAAAGAAATTTGCCTCCTTGGGCTTTTATACATGATGATTCAGCTTACATTTTTGAGAGGAAATAAAAAACATTTGCTCTTATTTGACTTATTTGTTATCTTCTTTAGTATTTATTCAGTGTTCATCTATTCACATCTTTCATAGCTTTTTGAATCAATCAAGACAATACTAGATTTAGCGTAATATGTATACAGATGAACATACTCTTAAGAAAAATACAATGTGAGATATGCTCCTTGTTCTTAAGGAACTTGCATCTTACAATATAGCATAGTAGTGGCAAGCAGGAACTTCATGGCCAAGCAAAACTGAGATGCATCCTACCCTACATAGCCACTTACTAGCTGCGTGACCTTGGAAAAGTTATTTAATTTTTAAAGACTTAAGTAACCAGTTGGGCCACTTGTGATGACAACAGCACATGTTTTCTAGGGATGTTGCAAAGATTTAATCCAATAAGGGCATACTGCCCTCCTAGCCTTTAATAAAGCCTTAATAAATGCCAGTCTCCATTATCTATTTCCATTTATTAAGTCTAAATAGAAATTTTTCTCACAGCTAATATTGCTGTAGCCAAAGTAGAGTCCTTTGAGGAGGACTTGACTGGGCTCCAGCAAAATGAATTAAGAAAACATCCCTGTAACCTATTGCAGCCTAAGGTCAAAATTACAAACATATTTTCAAAACCACTTTATGGTCAATGGCACTTCTGGGTTCTGGCTAAATCACAAAACCTGATATAAAAAGCATGGAAGATTTTCAAATCAACAGTAAGTTCGTTTTTCAGAATTGCATCAGTAGATATAGAAGTATTCACCCAATGAAAAGAAAAAGTTGCTAACTTAGCAGGCTGCAATTTGATTACAGAGGACTGGCCATCCTAAAAAGTTCAATAAAACTTTCTTCTGCTCTCAAGAAACCATTTATGCTTTGCAACAGAAGGGCACTTCTTTTTTTTGAGATGGAGTTTTGCTCTTGTTGCCCAGGCTGGAGTCAATGGCGTGATCTTGGCTCACTGCAACCTCTGCCTCCTGGGTTCATGGGATTCTTCTGCCTCAGCCTCCCAAGTAGCTGAGATTATTTCTGTACTTCCAGAGTTAGTAATGGATGAAGTGACAGTGAAATAGAGTTCTGGCGTTTCAGAGCTGTGATTACAATGTAGTTGTGATACATGATGGGGACGGGGAAGTGCTGGGAGGAGAAGGGCAGGTCCCTGGTGAGGGCTCCACCCTCGGGCCTGTGCCCATGGACCTAGGTGAGGACAGGCACTCCTGCCTTGGCACCCACATAAATGTTGCATTTCCCAAGACCATCCTGGCCCACCATGCCCCATTCTGTGTCTACAAACCCCCATGAGACCCTAGCAGGCAGACACATAAGTGGCTGGATGTTGAGAGGATGTCTAGGGGAGCATGCTGGTGGAAGAGCACACTGACAGACACCAGCAGGCCATCAACCAGCAGAACAACTCAGAGTTTGGCTGGGGCAGTGGGAGGAGAGCCCAGGCCACCGAGCAGTCCGGCTCCAGGGGAAAACCATCTCCCTTCCAGCTCCCCCATCTGCTGAGAGCTACTTCCACTCAATAAAACCTTGCAATCACTCTCCAAGCCCACGTGTGATCCAATTCTTCCAGTATACCAAGGCAAGAACGCAGGATACAGAAAGCCCTCTGTCCTTGCAACAAGGTAGAGTCTAATTGCACTGGTTAACACGAGCTGCCTATAGATGGCAAAACTAAAAGAGCGCCCTGTAACACATGCCCACTGGGGCTTCAGGAGCTGTAAACATCCACCCCTAGATGCTGCCATGGGGTCGGAGCCCCACAGCCTGCCCATCTGTATGCTCCCCTAGAGCAGTGGGGCACTGAAGAAGTGAGTCACTTCCCTTCTCACAAGCCCTGCGAGGGGGACAAGGGAACCTTTCCCATTTCAGTTGGAGGTGGTGGGTAGGTTGGAGAGAGCAGGTCTCTGCTAGCTTCCGAGAACTGCTGTTCATAAGCAGTTGAGATGTCTGTTTTCTGACCCCAGGTTTTCCACTGGAAAGTCAGTAAGCATGTCCAAACATTGCACCTTTCAGTTGGCAAAATTCTCATTTCCAAATTACATGTATTGAGTGACATTGTTGCACACACAACTTATAACACTCACTGGAGACCACATAGGTGTATTGGCTGCTGATTACCTGAAGATATCACCCTCAGTAAACTGTGGCCGAAGCTGAGACAAGTTTATTGCTTACTAGAATGAGGAAGACCATTCCCTTGACAGTGTCTCAATAGCATCTGGGAGGGGAGCAGGTAAAGACATTCATGACATCTGGGGGTCTGATTTAAGGTGAGTCTTTTACTGGTGGGAGTATGGGGAGGGCACTTGGTTGGAATTGGGCAAAGGTCATGACAATATTGTAAGACAGATGAAGCAAGGTGAGATTTTGAATGGAGTCTTGAGTAGTAGTCAGTTGTATGGTGAGCCGTCAAGAGACCTGGTATACTGAGAAGGGATAATGAGGCTAGCTGAGTGGTCTATTTAGAAAAAAAAATGGATTTTCCAGAACTTCCAGAAATAAGGAATATTTCCTGAAAAATTAAGAATAAAGTTATTCTTAATTTAATCTTCTAGGCAAGAATTTCTTGGAATAATAAAGTCATATTAATAAAATGACGGTGAGTTCTATGGTCGCAGCTGGCTTTTGTTTTCACGACAGTGACACACATGTGATTTTGAAACTATCTGCCTCCTGGTCTCACCGCTGGCACCTTCTGCTTTGAGATCATTCTTTTGTTGATTCTTTTCTTTAGGTTGAGGCAATGATATCTCCAGGATTCTTCTCTTTAAATATGATTTCTATTGAGAGGGGTAGAAAAGTATATTGTTAAGATTATGAAAAATTAATCAGAAATTATGAAATCATAACTCTTCAGGGTCCTGAAAAGAAGCGTAGAAGTAAGATTTTCAATGAAGAAGGGATGGGAGCCAACTGCCTGACTGGATGGAGCTCAGGCATTGCCCCAGGAGCATGGGCTGCTGCTCTCAAGTATGCTGTGGGCTAAGATGCATGACAACTGACATGGGTTAGAATATGGGTATGGGGAGATGAACTCAAAGGAAGAGGCCTCTGGGGACCTCTCCTCTTTTTTATCTAAGAAATACTTTGTGACTCCTTTAAAATTCTTCTCTAAAGTCATCTCTCCTCTCCTTATAAAAGTATCTGGGGTTTCCCCACTAAAGGTCTCATGTGGACTGTGAGCTCATGTACACACCAACTATTTTCACTGCAGTGGAATTTTGGAGTTCAAACTACACAGAGATTAAGTTAATTAAATATCCACATAAACCCATTTGGATAACTTAACTCAGCTTTACTTGTATTCTGTCTTTTCTACATTGTCATTGTTATTTTTCAACTTTACTTTCCTTCTAGTCAGAAGTCTCCTCTTAAATTCCTTGTTTCTTCTATACATTACTTTCTTTTTTACATAAGATCCATTTTTTGTCTTCATTTTTCTCTTTCTTTAATTCCTCCACTGATATATGTCACTGAAGGAATATATATATGTTTAAATGTGTGTGCGTGTATGTGTGTGTATATACATTTTCTAATATAACCCTAGGTCATCTTCCTTAAATTCCAGATGTAACTCTTTTACAGCTACTGTTCTCCAGATTAAGTCCTTTGGCAAGCCTTATCTCCCTAGTCTGCTTCCAGCGCAACTCCACTCACATTGACAAAGGCTCAGAATAATACCCCCCAATCTCCTTCACCCCACACCTTCCTCTATCTCAACTGGGAATTCTCTTCCTTTTGAAAAGATTATTAAGAATCAGTCTCTCAAATTTTGCCTTTCTCATTTTATTCCCATCTTTCTCATTCCCTTTTGAATTCACTATTCTCTCAAAGTTTTTATTCTCCTTTGATTTTTATAAATATCTTTTCACCTACCACAACCACTAACCCCATCCAGTAACAGCAACACATTTGGTCGCCAGAGCTTTCTTCTATTAGCATGTAAACAACAACAACAACAACCAAAAAAAACCCTGTAATTTGCATGGTAGATGTTCATTTCATCTTCCTAAGCAAGAATTTATTGGAATAGTAAAGTCATATTAATAAAGTGACAGTGACCTATGTGTTTACAACTGGTTTGGTTCTCATTAGAGTGACACATGTGATTTTGAAACCTCTCTGCCTCCAATCTCTCTGCCTAGATGACTTTCCTAAAATTATTAATAATCTTAAAACATGTACCTGAGATACATATGTATAAAATCATTTTTATTAAGACACATAGTAGGTTAAGAAATGAAGTAAAGAGAAATTTTTATTCTTCTTGCTATTTTGCTTCATGAGAAATGTATCCCAAGCAGGAGAAATTAGGAGAAAGGTAAGAAGAGTCAGGCCATGAGAGGCCTCTGGGAACCATGTTAACAGTGTAGGGATTTAACCTAAAGTCAATGGAAGCCATTAAAATGTTTTTACTTGAGGAGTTGAGGATGACAATTTGTAATTTGAAAAGCCATAGGGTTGCATGTCAATTAGAAGAGGTCAAGAGTGAATGTAGGCAGGAAAACTAAAGGGCTATTCCAATAGTCAAAGTAAGAGAAAATGGTAGTTTAGTCTCCAGTGGTGGCTGGGAGGGTAGAAAGAAGCCAAAGATAAAATATAAGCAGATGTTAACCAAATTGTATATCGAATGTGGAAGACAGGGAGGTGTGAGGGTGGACTTGTAGGTTTCTGACTTACAAAACATACAATGGAAGGCAGCACCACTACTAAGATAGGAAACACTAGAACTGCACTGTCCAATATGCTAGATACCAGTCACATGTGGCTATTTTAGTTTAAATTTATGAAAATTAAATATAATTTGTTATTCAGTTCTTCAGTAATATTAGTCTCATTCCAAATGCTAATTAACCATGCATAGCTAGTAGCTACCACAACGGCCAATGCAGATCTAGAGTATTTCCACTACTGCTGAAATTACTATTGAACAATGCTGGAATAGAAGAAAACTAGGTAACACCAATGGCCAAGAGCTGTCACTCTGGTTACTTATTATTTTCCGGTTCTTTTACTTGTGATTATACCTAATGCCAAGAAATTCACATCTATGCCTTTCAGCTAAACACAACAACTCATTTTTGTATGCTGCTTTCCCATAAGCCCTTTGCCCCAAATGCAGAGTAGGGTCATGCTCAATAATGTCACTTATATGGAACTTAGTCAGTACATATTATTTACAAGCAAGAGAAGTGAAAGTTTATTAGAGTGGGTTGTAGGTCCCCAAGGATGCTAAGCACTTTAGTTTGGGTTATTCCAAAAGCACACCCCAATAAAGGAATGTGGGTGAAAATCATTTATTTTGGAGGTGATCCAGGAAGCACAAGAAGGGAATAGGAAAGTAAGAGAGGAAATGGTAGAAAGCCAATGAAAGGCACTTTAATGAGTGGCTATTTCTATGAGCACCTGAGGTCTATGTCTACTGGGGACTTTTGAGAGAATATGATGAACGCAACTCAAAATTCTCCTTCCAACTGGTGAGAAAGTTGGGATGTTAATTCACCAACTCTGATTCTTTGTTGATGAACAGTCTGTTCCTGCGGTGTTAAATGCCCAACCCTACCAGCCTTCCTGATGTACTGCTGAGCTTACCTTTGGGCATAAAGAAGCCCTCAAACAGAAAGACAAAGGAAGTCATGGGCATATATAGGAACTCTCTGCAAATGACTTCAAGGGTGGATGAGAAAGTGTGGAACAGGCACCAGTAGCCTCTGCTCTTCGATTTCATACTTCTCCAGAATGGAAAAGCATTTCCATTAGTGTTTGCATTAGTGGCCTTGTAGCTATCTACAGGAAGTCTCATCCCACAATTCCTGTAAGCCAACAAAAAACACAGAGGAATGTTCCCAGAGTTTCCTCCAGCTAGAGGTAGATATGACAGAGACAATCGTTAATCCAGTTTCAGTTGTTTTGAAACATCCAAGTGGAGATACCATGCAGACCCTCAGTATACATGACTGGGGCTCAAACCAAAGATCTGTAAGTCATCTATACATATGTATATTTGAAACCATGGATATGAGTGATATTTCATTTTTTTCGTTTTGAGACAGAGTCTCACTCTGTCACCCAGGCTGGAGTGAACTGGCATGATCACAGCTCAGTGCAGCCTCCACCTCCAAGGTTTAGGTGATCATACTGTCACAGCCTCAGAAGCCTCTATTATAAGGGCATTAATCCCATAAATAAGGGCAAAGCCTTCATAACTTAATCACTTCCCAAAAGGCCTCATGTCTTATTAGCATCACCTTGAAGTTTAAGTTCCAACATATGCATTTCGGAGGGACACATACATGTAAATCATAGCAGCCTAAGGAGAAGAGAAGCAGCAGAAAGGAAGCTAGCTGCTAGACAGAAAGGAAAACAACCAGGGAAGCTCTGGGTCAGTGCAGCCAGGGAAGAGAGTGTTTCAAGTTCTTCACAGACTTGAACCAACAGAGGAACATCACAGCAAAATTCGTACTATATGGCCCTTAAATATGGGAGTTAGCGGTAACTTACTGTAACTGAAATCTCCTAAAGCATAAATTGAGGTCTGTGTAGTTTTCTCTGTTCACAGACCAAAATGAAGCACATGAAATTGAGCCCAATTTTATATTGGGATGCTTATAATATTAATGCAAATTGGGAGTTGACAGAGTAATTGCAGAAAATTAGGGGTTTTGTTCCTAAAGAGAGCTAACAAATGGAAGCATCAAGTAATCCATCAGATCTGTGCACATAGTGTTCTCTGAATATTTTTCCACAAAACACTTTCAATATAACAATTTAAACTTTACTATCCTTTAGAAAATTTGATAAAAGTATAATGGAAGTAACAGTATGGTGGAGAAAATGATTATTTGAGATTCTTCCTCAAGTGTTTATAATAAAAAATAAATTAGATCAAGCGTGAGTCAGATGAAACAAATTATAAACAATCCACTAAATTAAATGAATACTAGGAGAGAATAACTCCTAGATGTAATAAAACCTGCCATCCTAGGCAGCCCACACACAGGAGGAAGCTTCTGAGAGATTTGCAAAGCCAATTAGAAACAAAAGCATTCTGTATTTATAGAGTGGGTAGAATACACATCATGAGACCTTCAATAGAGTGTTCCAGTCAGTTACTTCTAAGATATCTCCGTGCTGTGTGGAACTGAGTGAGGATTCTTCTTGAGGCCCTCATTGAAGTAACTGTGTGTTTGTGTATGTGTATGTGCGTGTGTGTGTGTGAGAGAGAGAAAGAGAAAGAGTGACAGAGAAAGAGAGAGAGAGAGAAAAAAAAACAAGAGAAATCAATGTACTAAGTAACAAGAACAAGTACACCAACTACATCTATACTACACGACACTTAGATATGGGAGACAGTTAGAGGTAAATAATGCAGTTTCTTCAGAGTTTTAATAATGTCAGATTTTAGACAACGAATGAATGAAACACATCAAAGAAGGAAAAACAGAAACAAAAAGCACACAAATGAATACACTGTAAATGCCAGTACATGATGCATTTGTTCATGAGAAAACTGTACGTAGTTGATAGAACACTAATACAGAGTCCAGAGTAAGGTGGTGAAGTTTAGAATAGCTTCTCACACTCTAATGTGCATATGAATCTCCTAGAGATCTCAAAAAATGCAGATTCTAGTCCAGTGGGTGTAGAGTGGGCCCTGAGATTGTGATGGCTAATAAGCCGAGGTATTGCCAATGCTGCTGATTTTTGAACTACATTTTGAGTAGCAAGGTTGGCACAAGAGCTAGGAGTGGAAGTTTGATACCAGTCAGGGTGAAAGTCT